CTAGAAACAATTAAAATGACTCCCTCATAATGTAGTTTTATTCCTTATTTATCAAACTTAATTATGAACCAAATTATGAAAAACACTGGACATTGAACAAACAATAAATCTATGACAACCAATCAAACATAAAGTCACTTGAGTGAATTGAAGTTTTTTCAAAAAACAATTTTTGAGAAACCGGTCATTTGTTATTAAGGTGGGTGTATTAGATGAAATGAAAGTGAGTGAGTGAGTTTAGTTTTACGCCGCTTTTAGCAATATTCCAGCAATATCACAGCTGGTGGACACCAGAAATGGGCTTCACACATTGTGCCCATGTGGAGAATTGAACCCGGGTCTTCAGCATGACGAGCGAACACTTTAACCACTAGGCTACCCCACCACCCAAATAAAATCAGAGGGAGGTCACCAAAATTTATGACATACTCAAGTGGAGGGTCTTAAAAACTAGAAACACATATTTTGGGAAGGTCATTAAAAAAATAGAAATTTTAGAATGAAATATAAAGTGCATTTTCATGTTGTTGTTTTTCAGGAAAGGTAAAAAAAATACAAGCACAGGGTCATAGAAAGTATGACAAGATGTTGGAGGAGGTAATTATTTTCACAACATTACTGCACTGAAAATGTCTGCAATTACTGGCTTGTCCCATACATTTCAATATCAAAGAGAAAACTAATGAAAACAGTACAGAAGTCATGGTAAACAAGACACATAGTATAAATATCTGGCATGTCTACCACCCTTGTAACAAGTAACATACATGTATATCATTGTCACTGAATAACAACATCACCTGAATGTTCTAAAGCGGCCTTCACACGGCAAACTAAAGTTCAACAACACATGTTAAAATTTTAAAAGTTGTCAAACTCCCATTTTCACACTTACATTTGTAGGTTGAGTTGACCAAAACATCACATGGCAATTTCGTTGTTTGACAACACTTCACACGTCAAACTCGAGTTTGCCAACACCGAAAGTTTGATGGAAAAGTTGGTGAAAATAGAGACCGATTTTATTTCTCGACAACAGTTTGACAACTCTGAAATTGGAGTTGGTGTCACGTTGTTGGAATGTTCACACTCTCAAACTAGAGTTTCACAACATGTGTTGTGGAACTTTAGTTTACCGTGTGAAGGCCGCTTAACATGTTAGTAACACATCCATAGCAACACAGCTAACTCACACATTCACATCAATCAGTCTCAAAGATTATTAAACATGAAAAACATCAACCCCAAACTCAATATTAGAACAAATGGCTAGGGTGTAAAATGACATGGCAACCATTATCGCAAAAAGTTGACAAAACAGAACAAAAGTTATGTAGCTATTGAGCACTCATTTCAAAAATGGAATGGGTGTTGGCTCTCTGGCACAAAAACAAATGGCATCACAAAACATTTTCTTTGAAAAATTGTTGTCTTTTGTTTGTTTCATTATTTTGGATTTGTGTTTGATCCAAATATTGTACGGCCATCACTTGCAGAAAGGGATTCCGTTTTACATATCTAGGTCAAATGTAGACTAACATTTAGTCTCTGAAATGAACATATTTTTACAGAAAACAAAAACTGTTCATAAAAAATAATTATAAAATATAATGAAAAAGGGGCCCAGTGACTTTCTTCATTTTCAGAAAGTTTGGAAATCTGGACATGCCACATACAGTAGAACACGGATATAACGAACTCCAAGGGACCAAGAAATTTAGTTTGCTATATCCGTTGTTCGTTATTCACATTTGACCGCCATCTTGGATTGTAGAGATGTAGAGACATGTATATGCTGAGGCTACAAATCTTTATTCTTGTACATGTACATTGACATAACATTAAAATTCTGAATTTATCATTCACAGACATTAGCTAGAACATGTTTAACAATCACAACAATCTCAACAATACATGTATATAATTTAATCAAACAATGTTGATTCGCCGCCAACAAGGTTGATGTATACTGCTAAGTGGCTGAGCTGACACTGAGTGAGTTCGCTAATCACGTCGTTAATTGGGTCATGGGGGTAGTAAATCAGTTCCCTATAGCCGTTAATTCGCTACTCACGAGTTCGTTATTCGCGTATAATTTAATGATATTATAAAGGACTATTGACGGGACTTTTAAATTTGTTCGCTATATCCGTTTGTACGCTATATCCGTGTTCGCTATATCCATGTTCTACTGTATTTTTTACTTGTATCGGCTTTCTTGGATACATTTGTTTCAGGGTCTGTATGACAGACCAGGTCACATGGTACTTTAGGTCCTCCAACCAATCACTTGATGATTACCTTTATTTAAAGTTCCTAGGATAAATCCACTCATCTATGACTAGAACTACTAAACACACTGTACACATGTACAAACTCTCTAACAGCATCTCACGACAAAACTTCTACAACTATTTCAACACAATCTGCATCCACAAACAAATCAAACATCTTGTCTCGCCTCTAAAACATAACAAGTGATGCAATATGTCATTATCGGGGTTGGAAAAATTGGCACAAAATAAAGCAGGAATTTATTACACATTGTATTCATTTAATAACGATATTGTTATTATTAACAAAGTCTATGCCTTTGGGGCTTTTGTTATTTCACACAAAAATATTCAAAATATTTCAAAATTTAAACACACTGGTTGAAGAAATATTCATGAACTGCAGTTCACAAACTTTGGGCGATATTTGTTTTATTTCTTTCTTTTTAAACATACTTTTCAGAAAAGTAGTAAATAACCATTTCATTGTTTTTGTTTATAAAATGTACTTTCAGTTTGACACATTGTGTGCAAAACAATGTTTGTGGTGAAAATTCAAATTAGAATTCAAAGGAAAAAATAGTGCTTTATACATTTTGAAGGTATTTTTCTAAAATGATTTTATAGTTTGTGAAATTCAAAAATGAATTTAATAGTTTTGTCAAGATACAGTCAAAACACTACGATATAGTCCCCTTCACCTGTCATAACAAGTATTATGAAATAATTTCTAGGGTTCCAGCTGACAAGTTTCAGTATGGATTAACAGCTACAAACTCAACACATACCATATATATATACAGTTTGGCTGATACTTTCAATATTTTTGAACATGTGAAACATTCTGTCAGCAAGTCTATGAGTAAATACCAATTTAACTAATGAAATTAAAAATATACATAACCCTGTTCAATTGTTTACTGAACAAACAAGTGTCTTTGTCTAGATTCCACATGATTTTACAAAATTTCCACAAAGTATTTTTGGTTTTGGTGGTTTCAAGTTACACCAAATTCAAATGAATATGATATTTGGTCAATCTGGTTGAGCTGTGTGATACAAAAAATGGTGTAACATACTCTTCTCCCAGTGTCTTCGAGTCTGAGAGCCATCATCTACATGCTTACATTACATTGGGAGGTAACCATGGCTACTGTGTTACAAGGATAAGGTGATGAAGCTTGCAATGCAACCGCTGAACATACATGACTGAAGAATGGTGCTGTCATCCACAAAATATTTGTTGGTTTGTTATTTTACGCTGCACTCAGCAATATTCCGACTATATCACAGCGGTCTGTAAATAATCAATTCTGGACCAGACAATCCAGTGATTGACATCATGAGCATCGATCTACGCAATTATGATACGATGACATGTGTCAACCAAGTCAGCGAACCTGACCACCCTTTCCCGTTAGTCGCCTCTTACAACAAGCATGGGTTACTGAAGACCAACTCTAACCTGAGTTGTACATGTTTCACCTACAAAATATTCGCCAACTGCATAATATAGTGAGCATATACCCTGATGATGCAATCTAGCTGATTTGCTCATCTTCATCATTGTCTGTCATCCATTAGAATGTCATCAGTGTCCCCATTTAAGGACATAATTCTTTCTATGTCATATGCAATAAACCCGTATAAGATATAACTACATCTTCAGAAAATACTTAGTCCCATGCATGTATGTCTATATACAATACAGCAAGTCTACGATCTTGTGGTTTTAGATTAAAACAGACATGTCCAAATATGTGCAACATCCAGCCATGATATATGAACAATTTTTCAACTGATCTCCAGTTTTCAACTAATAAGACTCAGTCAACACACATTCCTGAATAAATGTATATTTATCATGTATGATATCCTATTACCACAAGATCCATCCTCGACCATCAAGGGTGATATATTCCATTTCATGATGACACATATGGTGATGGGGATGAAACTGTATTCATTAATTTATTCTGGCCTGGCCATCGCTAACACAGCTTTTCCTGGGTACTGCTGCAGGGGATGTTGGACAAGATGTAGATGGTTGATTAATCGTGGAGTTTTGCTGCATCTCATTCATGGAAATGTGAAGTTGTCATTCAAGATATTACATCACTTCATAGAAAACTAACATAGAAAACTAACAACCATAAACTTTGACCAAAAACAAGGGTCCAGTGGATCCTTACGTACCAATTTCAACGGTCCATATAGGAAATATGAGGGTCCAGTAAAGTAACGAAATGACCTTGTGTAGTGAACCGTAAAATTTAGCTATTATTTTAATCAAAGGAACCTTATATTTTTTGTCAAGAAATTGGTAAAATGAATATTATTGTGCATCCCTCGGACACAATATATATTTATTCTGCGTCCATTGTGTATGTGCAGACTGGACATTTCTGCATCAAGTAAAACCTACATATCATATTTGTCATGGCCTGATGTCACTCCCGCCCTACAGTCTACTCTAAGAAGGAAGATTTTCTAACGATGCATTGTAAACCATATCAGTGTTTGTACTTGAACATGTCAGATAAACAAACAATGACACTGACACCGGGTGTCAACTTCATGGCTTTTTTGACCCGACCCAAGGATAACACAAACATACAGGTCACTCTACTATCTGAAGTATTGTCAGTCAGTTCTCTCAGTCAATTTTCTTTTCTTCTTCTGTTTTAGGATACTGGATTTCACCTGCAAAGAATAATTACCAGACAGTTACCAAGTTATCTACACTGATGTCTTCAAATCTAATATGAACCATAAAATCAGGGGCTTAGCTGCCATTGTATGAAAAAGCCCGGGCTTACACACGATTGTTGCTGAAAAGGTTGGGCAAGCCGTCAATACTATCTAAATATATAGCTTTGCAACCTATCAGGCTTACACGAAAAAATTGGCTTGCTACACGCCTGAAAATTTATTACAATCCATAAAGATTTTAAGCCACATACAAATATCTTTACACAGTTCATTGTTTGGTAAAAAAAACACAAAAGGGATGCTTTGGACCAGTGATAGCCTAGTGATTAAAGCATTGGCTTGTCATGTCAAAAACCTGTGTTTGATCACCCCATGGGTACAATGTGTGAAGACCATTTCTGATGTCCCCCATTTATTGCTGGAAGATTGCTAAAAGCGGTCTAAAACTTAACTCACTCACTCACTGGAGCAGTGGAGCAGAGCACTCGGAAAGTTTCATAACTTATTTGGGCCAACTTACCTGAAATGCTCTCAACACAACCGTCCCTACCTGTATTCTTATCACTTCTATTGTGTTTACACTTCTGATTCAGCCTAGTGGTTAAGACATGAGTTCGATGCCACCCATGATGCTGGAATATTGCTAATAGCAGCATAAGACCATACTCTCTCACTCTGATGCTGCCTGGCACTCACCTACTCCCTCTTCCTCCAGCATATAGTCCTCCTCATCATCGTCCTCATCCTCGGCCATCTCGTCGTCAATGGGCTCCATGCAGCACAGACTGTAGCAGACCACGCTGATGATGATGGTGGGCAGGCCAAACATCAGCAGGAACAGCCAGCGGGACGCCTGCCAGATGCTCTGGGGGGTACACAGGGAATATGTCATTGCTTTCCCAAGTCAGAAATTACCAATTTGTCACCACAGTCAAGGTATGAATACCTCCGAGTTCCATAATTATATGAAAGCAGATTCCATTGTGTGTACAGGGGAGGAACCAGTGTGTGCATCTGTGTGCCTGTGCCTGTGCGTGTGTGCGTGTGTGCGTGCGTGCAAGCGCAAGTGCACCACCTCAAAATAACTTCCCTGAGGAACATTTCCCTTTAACCTTTGGACTTCATCATTTCTGTGCACCCCCCTTCTCCAAAATCCTGGATCCACCCCTTTTGTATCTGATGAATCATTAGTGTATGTTTAAGAATCACTATCAGATAGTGACAATGCCAGGTGTTTGCCAAAGGATGAACGTATCCTGCCTTTTGAGCAGCACCCATCACAAACACATGCACAGGCAAGTCAATACTCATGTGAACAAACACAAGTCCACAAGATTCCACATAGGGACTTTAGACAGCATCTTGGTTACTGATGCAACAAATTTAACATACATAACAATGTGGAAACAGTTACTGTGTGCAAGGAAGAAAGCAGGAATCATTTCAAAGTTCAAGTGCATCACACACATAAACCAGGGCTGAGTTACGAGTTCTCACTCTTGGAATAGTTAAAAAACGTCATGTGACATGTGAAACTGTCCATACTCACCACAACTGTAGACACCAGGTCATAGCCGAGTCTCAGGAGTCTCTGTAGAAAGCCAGTCCCTCCAGATCCCTGCAACAACATACACAATGTCCAGTCAGTAACTAACTGATTCAGACATCCACCAGGTGTCAGCCTGCTGGACCATAACATTATGTTGAGTGAGTGAGTGAGTTTAGTTTTACGCCGCACCCAGCAATATTCCAGCTATATGGCAGCAGTCTGTAAATAATTGAGTCTGGACTAGACAATCCAGTGATCAACAGCATGAGCATCGATCTGCGCAATTGGGAACCGATGACATGTGTCAACCAAGTCAGCGAGCCTGACCTGCCGATCCCGTTAGTCGCCTTTTACGACAAGCATAGTAGCCTTTTATGACAAGAATGGGTTGCTGAAGACCTATTCTACCCCGGATCTTCATGGGTCACGAGATGTTGAAATTATCATGGATTATGTTTGGTCATCTACAAACATCTGGTCTATATGTAGATCCCTCTCACTCAGGTTTACAACTATTCCATGTGTTCAGGTAACAGGAAGAAGGTGAGTCTAAATGTGTACTAGTGGACTCAAAGACAATATCATGGATTCTATAGATTATCCTTTCAGATGAAAATATGTTTGATTACTGTGTATCCCTCCCTCCCTCTCTCCTTCCTTCAGTCCCTCCCTATCTCCCTCTTCCTTTCTTCCCACTGCCATTCCTCTCTCCCTCTCTCATTTCTTTCTCCTTTGTCCCTTATTATTTCCCTCTATCCTTGCCTTCCTCCCTCATTCACTCATTCCCTCCATTCCTCCTCCCTATGTCTCTGTGTCCACCTCAGCAAACCTGACCACCTGATCCACAAATTGACCCATAGTTCCATTAATCAAACAGAGATGTCACATTTAAATACCTCAATTTTTCCATCCTCCACATCCTGGAGGAACTGCTTGAAGGAAGCTACTGTGAAGTCTGTTACACTGGACTCTGGGAAGTAGTGCATGTGCTTCTCAGGGTCAAGGACAAAGACGGTGGGCGTGCTGAGGAAGGACATGGTGATGGTGTTGGCGGTGTCCACGTCGTTCATCCACAGAAACTGGTACTTGCTGGATCATACAAGAACATGGTGAGCCAGTGAGTGAGTTTAGTTTTACGCTGCACTCAGCAATATTCCAGGTACATGTACATGGTGGCGGTCCGTAAATAATCAAGTCTGGACCAGACAATCCAATGATCAACAGCATGAGCGTTGATCTACGCAATTGAGATACGATGACACAAGTACATGGGAAAAACGGTTAATGGGAAATAATGTAGAACAACATCAAAATATGCTGCATAGATTCTGCACTTTAATTGGATGAAATGTTATACACAAAGACTTAAAGTACAAATATAACAATTCCATCCTTTAAGAATTTACATATTACTGGGAATCCTGTAAAATATTTCTCAGAATATGAGAAAAAAATAATTTTAACTTTATGTTTGTCCGTTTGTTAATTATGGGAACTAGAATGTGAGCAATATATATGATGAATTTGACAGAGTAATTTGAAATAATTAAGTAATTAAGATGAATGTTTGTCTTACCTGTGCAGGTGCCCTCGGGGCTCTGTGGCAATCTGCTGTGCTATACTTTTTATTCTGAAAGGTAAAAAGCTACAGTTAATCTACAGCATTCCATGTCAAACAGTTCGGACACTTAGAACAGTAAAATACAATAACTGCTTCAACATACCATGACATACATGGAAGTATATGATTGAAGTAATGAATGCATGTTCGCAGTAGTAGTTGATTTTTTGGGTTATTCTTTAGCAACAATATTAATAATATTCAAGCTGAATGGCAGCAGTCTGTAAATAATCAAGTCTGGACCAGACAATCCAGTGATCAACAGCATGAGCGTTGACCTGGATCTTCATGGGTTATAGAAGCTGATAGTAGCTAACAGTATACAAGATATTGACCTGTCAGACATTACTTGGATACTTGAGAGTTGATGGCCCCTATGTCCAGTACAAAATATCCATTGTAAATTGCATATCATCATCATCATCATCATCATCATCATCATCATCATCATCATGCACAAAGTGCACATCCGATAGCATGCTCAACAAGTCATTATTAACCCCTCAGTTGGTCCAGAGTGCACTCAAATTCACTCTCAGCTCCATGGGGAAAATGACCCTCTTGAAATTTCACAGTTACATAAACATCTATACACAACATACAGACATTAGTAAATGGACATACAAGTGTAAATATGTTTATCAGATTTAAGAGGTGAGGTGAGGTGACATTGGGTTTAAAGTCGGCTTGAGAATATTTCGCTCATATGACGATGTGCATGCGTGTGTATGTGTATGTGCCGCTGCTTGTACTAGCCCAGACTTAAGCTGGTTTTATAGTGCTAGCCCACTGAGATACCATGCCGCAGTGAAGCATGAATACCCCACTCAGACACATTATACTGACTCCAAGCCAACCAGTCCTTGTTGTACCCACTAATGCCGAGCGCCAGGCAGGGACCAACAAGTACCATATTTTAACATCTTTTGGTATGACGCGGTTGGGGATCGAACTCGCGACCTTCTGCTCTCCGGGTGGAAGCTCTAACCACTACACCACGGAGGCGGTCTCAGATTTAAGAGACTGCAGTGAGTGAGTGAGTGTTACGTCGTTTTGGCAATATTCCAGCAATATCATGGTGGGGACACCCGAAATGGGCTTCATATGTTGTACCCATGTGGGGAATCGAACCCAGGTCTTCGACGTGATGAGCAAACACTTTAACCACTAGGCTACCCTACCGCCCCTTAAGGGACTGTAAACAGTCAACAGCCATGATGGCCATGCTATCCTCACAACCAGCTTTATTGGGGACCTACCCAGACAGACAACCAGTAGATGGGGATTCAGCCAAAATACACCATCTTGTGTTCACATTTCAATACAGCTGCTGTTGGAATTTCTCCAAAGAGAAAGTTGTTTGTCAAAAATGTTCAAAATACCAGAAATCATTTACCCATTCAGTCAGTAGGAGGAGGATTTTATGAATGTTTCCATGATTTCAGAGAAAAGATCATTTGAACTGACAAAAGAAAGATAACTCCTCCAGGACTAAAGATGCATCAAACCACTATTTTATAACACTTCCACTTGTACTTCATTAGTGACATTGCTACATAACTCTTGCTGTTAGTTTGTTTATATGTTTGTTTTTTAATACTCCAATCCACAATATTTGAGCTACATTACTGTAAATAATTAAATCAGAACCAAAGAATCCAGACATAGACACAATGAGCATCAATCTACCATCTGAACCCATAAGTTACTTTTTAGAACAAGCAGGGGTTGCTGAAGAGCAATTCTCACCTGGATCTTCACAGGTATGTTTTAACAAAATTATTGAATGTGCATCAAAAACTACATTTACTTAACATATTACATGGCAAACACAAACAATTACTATCAGCCA